ATACTACCAGTGGTAGGAGCATCAGATTAGCAATGTGTTCTAAGCTTTTTCAATTGTATTGTTAATGTACAGAACACACATTAGAGTCTGCAATCATGAAAGACAAGATAGCAACTGCTCGTCAGGAAATCATTATTGCACGCAGTAAGCTAGGAGGGGGAGCAAAAAGGCAAATAAGTCTACCTGCATATAAACTGGTCAAAATCACATGATAATTTTTAGCAATTTCTCAACCATTTATACAACTGCTTCTTCATACAGTTCCACTGCATGCAATTTAATAGTTTCTCCCCTTAGGGTTTGTCTACATAGGAAAATTAACTGCTATAGCTATACTGATATAACTCCAAAGGGACTATTATTCACAACAGTGGCCCTTTTTGGTTTAGCATTAATTCCCTTTTGAAGTAAATTAAGCTAACCTGAAAACAGCAACTGTTATTGCAAATTATAGCAACCACACAGGAATTTATACTAATAACTACAGGTATAGCAATGCTGATACAGTTTCCCAAAGTAGACAAGCCCTTGTGTCTAAGTAACACAGGAAATGGTTCAAGTAATAACGACAGTTAAACCTTTACATAACAATGACTGTGATTCAGTAAGTGCAGAGGACTCCTACCAAAAACTAGCACTGTGAAATGAAACTTTAGAGGAGTTAAAAAAAATAAAAGCAGCTAGTCACAGAAGAGAAAACAAATCCACAGGTCAAGCGAGTAACACAAAATTCTGGTTAAATGTCAATTGACAACTATTATTTGACCTCCATCAAACACTCTAGCTGGAATGTCCTGATTTAACATCTGCCTACTTTATTAATTATGCATGGTACCATTTTTTCAGAATTTTTATTTGTGTGTTTTACATTTTTCTCTGTTGAAATAGCAACGATTGTTTTTTTTTTAAAAAATAAGCATAATTATCTCAGCTTATGCTTAGCTGATGTAGACCATAAACTCTTACTCTTTTTTTGTTGCTGTTCTATTAAGTAAGTACTTTAAAAATTACCTGACCATTGACACTTCTCAATCCATCAATTGACCAGTTGTTTAATAGGTCACACGTGCAACCCTAAACTCTGCTCAGAGGATTCTTAAAAATGAAGAAAGAACATATGCAGGAATAGAGGACGTATAAAGAAAGCCACAATATAGTATGGTTAAATGACAAGTTCAAGGATGTTGTTTGAAATAACATATATGTTATGTCCTTCAGAAAATGGAAACCCAACTCACAACGGATTCTACATGAATTAAACAAGTATTGCAGGTAATACACAAGATATAGCGCGGAGCAGATCTGAGAAGAAACAAATAATCCCTCCCCCCCCGCCCCAAAAAAAAAGTACACACCAAAAACCATCAGTAGCATGCACCACCATACCTCTGGAACAAGGTGTAATAAAAAAATAATGACCAAATATCCAGTAAGAACATTTAACACCACATACAGATTGTTTCTAGGCACATATCTGACTGCCTATAGTTAGACACTGGAAGATAAAATGGTAGTAATTTGTCTAAAATGCACGGACCTAGAATTTAAAATATTATATGAGATGTATTGGGACGTAACTGCTACTGTGAACTTCTTTGCTCATAGTAAAAATAATCACTTAACTGTTCTAAAATTAGGAATTTATTTATAGCAAAGATAGCAAGAGTGCTACATTACTTAGTAAGAGGCATACCATAACCATACAGTGAGCAGCAAACTGCTGTTAAAAACTATTAAATCTTAAAATCTAAATGCTGCCCAAAACCAACAGGAGAAACTAATCAAGCAACACTTGCCAGTACACATCAGCAGCAAATGTTTTAGCTTTGGCGCTTGGATTTGTTCTCTTGTTAAGCTCTTGGCCAAACTAAACTTAACCCTAAAAAAAAAAAAAAAAAAAAATCTTATCTTAATACCTAAAGTAGCAAGAAAGAAGCTCTAGAAGCATATAACCAATCCATGGTTTCCAGTAGTTTTACCATCATAACACACCTGAATCTCCTGTGGCAGGTATGGATGACAAGGTATTTTAAAATTCCTGGAGCTTTGTTCATGCTAGGGCTAGGTCTGTATAGCAGCTGGGAGGTGTGACTTCCAGTCCTGCAAACATACATGCACTAGCTCTGCTCAAGCTGGGGCCTAAAAGTAAGTGTAGACACAGCAACATGAAGTTCAGGCTAGCTCTCCATATAAAACAGTGGTCCCCAACCATTTGAGGTTGCCGGGCGCCAGAGGGCGTGGCCGTTCGCCCACCAGGCGCCAGAGGGCGGGGACACTTGCGCGCCCGGGGGCGGGGCTCCCCCATAGCCACGCGCCCGGGGGCGGGGTCCCCCCAAGCACAAATGCCCCCGCGGGCGCCATGGCGCCCGCGGGCACCGTGTTACGGACCACTGATATAAAACCTTGCAGGTATGTACTCTGGCAGCTAGCCTGAACTGCGGCCTGTGCTACCACAAGCACACAACTATTTTTAGGAACTAGCTCAGAGTTTGCACATGCATGTCTACTTCAAGCTAAGAATCTCATCACCCAGCTGCTGTAGACATGCTCTACAACTCCATTACTATCACCCATGGACAGTTACGGACCACTGATATAAAACCTTGCAGGTATGTACTCTGGCAGCTAGCCTGAACTGCGGCCTGTGCTACCACAAGCACACAACTATTTTTAGGAACTAGCTCAGAGTTTGCACATGCATGTCTACTTCAAGCTAAGAATCTCATCACCCAGCTGCTGTAGACATGCTCTACAACTCCATTACTATCACCCATGGACAGGGCATTACTAAATTTATGGTCCATTTTGGTCAATTTCATCATTATCACATTTTAAACATATTAAGTGTTATGATTTTAGCTATTTAAAACTGAAATTTCACAGTATTATACTTGTAGGAGTCCTGACCCAAAAGGTGGGGGGGGTCATATTGGGGTTTTTTTGAGAGAGGACAGGGGATTCACAGTACTGCTAGCCTTAATTCTGTGCCATTGCTAGAGCCAATGCTTCATTCAGAGCTAAGCAAGAGGAGCAGCAGCTGTGCCTGCTGGCCAGCTTTAAAGGTGCAGCCAATGACACCAGGAACAGCACAGAAGTGAAGCTAGCATGGTATGGTACTGCTCCCCCTTTACTTGTGCACGGATGCTGGTGAGGCACTGTCCTCAGAGGTAGGCACCAAAGCAAAAGACAACATTCTCTGGAAATCTAACTCAGCAGTCAGCATAGAAGGAAAACTGGATATCCTAATAATCACCTCAACCATCCTACAATGCCCTTTTGGGCCAGGACCCCCACTTTGAGTAATACTGGTCTTCCCCCCGCCCCTGAAATCTGTACCCAATGTAGGGTAAAAGAGCACAAAAGACCAGACTGCACAGGAGAGCAGATTTCACAATTGGGAAGCATTTTTCCTGGCCATGATTTTGGCATGGTCCTACCTATGGAGTTGAACCAAATGGATTGTTTTTTCATAAAATAGGTTATGCACAGAACAGCCTAAAAGTTGGTTTTTTAAACTAGAGAACCTAAACCAAGAAAATATTTCGAACAAACTACAATGGATAACGAATGAGCTGATTCATTTATAAACACAAATTAGAACTAGGAGTTTAAATGACACTTGGTCAAGTAAGTAAATAGAGGACTTAGGATAATGACTTACAAGCTAAAAAACCCTTTTAATGATGTTGCAAAGAACCTGATTCTGCTTTAGCAGGCAGTGCCCATTATACTCAGCCATGGGACTAAGTGATAAAAATATTTCTGAATTTTAGTGCCTTAAATCTAGTCCCTATATACCATGTGTTCTTGGTCAGTTGCTGTCCAAGAGACGGCTCCATTTCAGAGATGAGGTGAGCCCCTGTACCTCGGTTACATTTGTAAAGTGCTTTGGGATCCTCCTGGAAGCTGAGCGGTGCTGCACAAATATAAGATATTATCATTAGCAACGCACCTGAACCGGAACACCTACCTAGATCAAGAACCCAAACTCTAGAAATGGTTGAAATTTGAACCCAGATCAGGCGTTCACAATTCAACGGTGTGTTTGAAAGGAGCTGTTCCAACCTCGGTTACATTTGTAAAGTGCTTTGGGATCCTCCTGGAAGCTGAGCGGTGCTGCACAAATATAAGATATTATCATTAGCAACGCACCTGAACCGGAACACCTACCTAGATCAAGAACCCAAACTCTAGAAATGGTTGAAATTTGAACCCAGATCAGGCGTTCACAATTCAACGGTGTGTTTGAAAGGAGCTGTTCCAAAACCCTAGACAGAGACCGACGAAACTTTTTTCCCTTGGAGACGAGGGGCGGGGGTGGGGGAAGAGCCGCCGGCGCCGC